TTTATTATTATTTATTTATTTTCGGCTCATTTTATTACTGCTCCTGTTGCTGCTGCTGCTGCTGCTGCTGCTGCTGCTGCTGCTGCTGCTGTTGGGGTGTATGTACAGCGTAAGAAGGAAGCCAGCCACAGTTCTTCGCATGCACAGTCAAGGGCTGTACCTTCTGCCTTTCTAGCGGAAATTAACCAAAGACACAGCAGCAGCAGCAGCAGCAGCAGCAGCAGCAGCAGCAGCAGCAGCAGCAGAGGCTCCGCCGGAGACCTCTTCAACCCCCCGCACCTAGCAGACGCAGCCCTTCATGATGTGCCGCTGCAGCAGCAGCAGCAGCAGCAGCTGCAGCAGCAGCAGCATCCGTGGAGGCTGTGAGGAGCTGCTGCTGCTGCTGGTTTTATTTAGGCTACCTCCCTCCAGCTGCTGCAGCAGCAGCTGCTGCAGCAGCAGCTGCTGCAGCAGCAGCAGCAACAACAGCTGCTGCTGCAGCAGCAGCAGCAGCAACTGCTGCAGCAGTAGCAGCAATAGCTGCTGCAGTAGCAAGAGCTGTTGCTGCAGTGGCAGGAGCTGCAACAGAAGCAGCTGCAACAACAGCTGCAGCAGCAGCAGCAACAGCTGCAGCAGCAGCATCAATAGCTGCAGCAGCAGCAGCAACAGCTGCAGCAGCAGCAGCAATAGCTGCAGCAGCAGCAGCGACAGCTGCAACAGCAGCAGCTGCAGCTGCAGCTGTAGCAGCAGCAGCGACAGCTGCAACAACAAGAACAGCAGCAGCAGCAGCAGCTGCTGCTGCTGCTGCTGCTGCTGCTGCAGCAGGAGGGTTTTTATATGCTTTATGTGGAGCCTTATAGACAGCAACAGCTAGCAGCAGCAACAGCTAGCAGCAGCAACAGCTAGCAGCAGCAACAGCTAGCAGCAGCAACAGCTGTACATACACCCGAACTCCTTTTATATAAAAACAAATATTGTAGCTGCTTCTCGTTAATATTAAATAAATAAACAAAACAATTTGCTGCTGCAGTTCTGCTGCTGCTGCTGCTGCTGCTGCTCTTGCTGTTGCTTGGTACTGGTGCGCGACAGCAGCAGCAGCAGCAGCAGCAGTTGCTGCTGCTGCTGCAGCAGCAACAGATGCAGCAGGTGCTGCAGCAGGAGCTGCAGCAGCAGGTGCATCAGCTGCAGCAACAGGTGCATCGTCATCAGCAGCAGCAGCAGTTGCTGCTGCTGCTGCAGTTGCTGCTGCTGCTG